CCTAGAGGGCGCTGGCTTCGCCGGCTGGCTGGCTGTCCGGCTGATGGATTATTGCGCGCCGGAAGTAAGTGTTTGCCATTTCCCCGGCAGATGGCGGTGGCGGCCTGGTGGCGGCGCGCCGCGTTTAGGCGGGAAAAAATAAGTTTATGGGACGAAGCGTGGGATAAAGGCAGGCTGGCCGCCAGGAGGAACGGAGGAAGAAAACGAGCTAGCTGCCCGCTCGAGGGAGTGCAAATTGCAATTTATTTTTATGGTATTATATTTTTACTAGCTTTGAATTGCCGGTCAGATACGTCTTCCAGCGGCGGCGCGCGGCCTACCCGCAAAAAAAGTCATTTTTTTCACCGCTAATGAGAACGGCCGCAAAATAAGGAGAAATTCAGTGCAATTCGGCTTTGTGACCGAGGAAACAAGCCCGGTGGGTTACACCCTTTTTTCAGCCTGCCTCTGTTTTTGCCCCGTCGGGACCCTGTGTTACTTTTGTTGGGCATTTGATCGCGTGCGACCATATTGAAAGGAATGCCGTGGCCACCGCCGCTCCGCCACCGTAACATAAACATGTCTGTCATAGCGCGGCGAATCCCGGCCCGCTGCCTTTTTGCTCAAGCAAACACTCAGGCTCTGCTTCTTCGTGCCGGCCGGGTTTGGACTACCACGCGGCCACGCGGCACCACCGCCACTCCATTTCGACTCGCGCAGCGCAGCGCGCTCAGATTGAAACGCTGCGCCTTCGGCTTGGACTTTGTTGTTTTTTACTATTTTGATTTTTAAAAGTAAGCAGGGAGATATATTCGGCTTGCCGAATGTTTTTTCCGGCTTCGAGCTGCAGCACCACGGAAGGCCAAGCTTATGCTGATTGGTCCATCGTGCAGCATCGTTCTGGACCGTAACAGGTCCGGCAAGCTGGCCGGACAAACAGACAGATAGACAGCCGGGCGGACGGACAGACCGAAGGACAAAAGGGTCTAGCATATGCGGGCAGGTGCGTCCAGCATTTAGCAGCATAGTGGGCACCAGCACGGCGTGCACACTGTACAGTTGCAGCCCGTAATTGTTGTCTAGCCACTTGCCTCGGCCAGCCTCCGGATTAATCTCCGCCACCCATCTCGCGGTATGAATATGGCCAGTGGTCCCGAGCAGTCCCGAGTAGTCCCGAGTAGTCCCGCAGGCCGGACGCGTGTGTCATAAAGCAGTGCTGTAAGCGGCACTGTAACGAGATGGGGGGAAGGGGGAGGAGAAAATGATGCGTTGCTATCATTGTAGTGTAGGTCATGTGTCAAGCGGACTTGCCTCTTTCCACGTTCATTCCTAATGGTTCTGGAACGCCCACAAACACAGCCGCACCCACAACTTTGCCCTCACACGCACGCGCGCACACTCACACTTCGCGAAACGGAGCATATGCGCCCACTGCGCATTGCTCGACATGCAGACAGACAGACAAGGCGAGCAGAGTAAGTTTTGCCGACCTGCTGGGCGAGTCGTATACCGTTGCGTTGGGACGTGAGGAGCGGGCCGCTGCGAACCGAGCTAATTCTTTTATGCAAATACCACGTAATTCCATTCAATTGCGGCGTCTCAAAAGTGCCGACGGCTCGTTGGCTGGGGGATATATGTTGCAATGCGGGCAGGAGAAAGATGTGGGTGCGAGCGCCTCCTTTTTGCTGTTTATGCGTTTGCTATCTGTCACAAAGCCGTGTAAGGCGCGTGTTCAAGGCGTTATGCAGATAGAGTCGTCCATCGGTAAACGTTTTCCATGAGTGCGCGCGGTGGGACCGAGCAACAGGTCTGCTTGCTTTGCTCGCTTTGCTCCCCAAACGCCCGCGCCGCCTCGGAATGTGTGAGAGGGAAGAGGCGAGGGGGAAGGAAAGAAATTATGCGCGCTTCAAAACAAAACCTGCCACGACGTACGGTTCCAAATTAGAAAAAGTGTAGCGGCTCGCCACTATTTTGCACCCACTCGCTGTGAAACCGAGAGGGAGGGGAGAGGGGAGGAGGGGGCTAAGTGCAGAAGCTTGAGACGCCGGCCCGCCCTGCCCCGCCCTGCCACGCCCGCCACGCCAAGTACAACCAGTCATTAATTAGGAAAGAAGCGTTCCTGCACGAGCGCATTGACGACTATTGGGTTTGGGCGGTGCAGGAAGGAGTGAGGGTCCTGCAAATAACACTTTTTCAGCCGTTTCACAACATTTTTTTGCAGGAACTGGAATAAAAAGTGCCGAGCGTCCTCTATCCCTTTTTCTCCTCTTCCATGGAAATGAAAAGTTAAAGTAGGAGGGCGCGCGTGTGTAAGTGAGTGTCGTGGCCAGTGTCACCATTTGGTCGTGGGAAGCAGGTCCGTCAACTCGGCACACGCCAACCACGTCCGCCCGCGGTAGCGCGCGGCCGCTAAAACGAGAAAAAGTAAGAAAAGCAACCGGACTCATCATGATTGCGCTAGATGTCCCTGCATTAGCACGCACCGAAATGATGCGCTGCCACTACCGAGGACATGAATAACAATTAGGGGCCATTTGGTGGCTCTCTACGACGACGCGGTTCAGTTCGATAGTAACTTCTCGGCTCATTTTTTAAGTCGTTCGACACGGAGCCGAACAAACGTGCCGCGCTTCTTCTAAAAATAATATTGGAAATAATTTGAAGAAGTGTACGCCAGTGACTTGTTTGGCACAGCCGCTTCCAGCCGTGCCAACCTCATCAGCTGTTCCCCGCAGTGTTGTCACCAACCGCTGTTCACATTTCACGGAGTTTCTCGCGGCTGGAAGTCCACTTTGTACACATTGCGATCTGAGCGCGCGTTTAGCGAAACTTATCGCATCATTATTGACATATTGCGTTCCGGACTAACCAGTTGGCAACGGCGGGCTTGCGGGTTGGTGTAGAAGATGAGTGTGCCTGTGTGTGTGTGTCTGTGTGTGATCTAGGGCTCTATTAGTGTCCCCCTGCGCGTCAACGGCAGGCGAGGCACGGGGCCCACGGGGCCACGGATTATCTGATTCCGTATTGCAATCCGAGTCCGAAAGTTACCGCGGGGTATCCCGGTGGATCGACCTTATAGCCCATCCCGTTGCGGTCCCCATATCGTGTCGATGGCCGGCCGCACCGCACGGCATCGGATAGCGCCCCACTATCGAGCCGGGAAATACAACGAGGGCCACCACTGTAAATTTCGGAAGTCGGGCCGCAACGGATATACGACACCGAGGTTCGGGCGGTGAGGAGAGGAGTCGCAGTGTGCGAACGCTGGCCACGAAGATGGCGCAGTCGTCACTTCTCGGTAACCGCGCCGTCCTTGACGGAGTGCCCCAAATTGGGGGACCTTGGTCACGACCATGACCACGGCCAGCAACGCGGAACCCAGATTGACCACCTTCGAAACGTGAAGCGCGTTAAGAGAAGCCGCCTCCGAACGGGGACAGCGCACCCGAGGTGGGACGGACGCGGACGGTCGGACGGACGGACAGGAAAGGAGGGAGACATGAGGTCGGCCGAAGCGGTGATTCGATTCGCCTTACATTGTGTGGCGGCGCGGGCAGGCGATGCGGCCAAAATCGTAGGGAGTGGGACGCCGGCGGCGTCACTGTAGGCCAGGCAGGCCAGGCAGGCCAGGCCTTTGGATGAGCCAAGCCTCGGGACAAGCCTTTTGATGAGCCCGCAAATGACTTTGACCGCCGTCATACTAGGCGAGGGAAGTAGGCACCACCCTGCTTCCATCTAGAGGACCAGTGGACCAGTTTTAAAATCATTTCTTTTTATTCGAGGTGAGAAGTGAGTTCTCTCTGACGCACTCGCCTTATCCGGAGGAGTTTCTACAACCCTCCCGCGCATGTGGGAAGCCAAAATGGCGCACCGCGGCCGTGGGGCATCTATACTACTGGGACTCAAAGGATCAGCAAGTCAGCCCCACCCAGTTGCAGCATGAGTTTGTCCTCCTTGCGCCCAAAAATTAAAACCATGCCGAACAGGGCGGGGTGATTTTCCACTCAAGCGTTTTGGCGACGGTGCGGGAGAGAGTACAGCGTCGCGGTCGTCCTTCCGATGCCCACTGTTCCTTTCAAGGCGTTTTGCGGACGCCGACACAGGCCGACACAGGCCGACACAGGCGGCAATGCAGGCCCGCTTGTCCCACTGGACTGGTGCCGGTCGGCCCTAGACCGTACCCAATCACACCGAGATCCTCAGGACCCTGCGAAGAAGCTTCCTGAAGGACGACAGACACCGCACTGCGCTCATTAATAAAAGGTGGTGCCCGTCTGAGTAGAGTCTTCGGAGCCGAAGTCGAGTCGTTTGTTGACTTTGTCAAGGGCAAGGGCCTGGCACTGCCAGTGTGGCAGGGCACCGCGATCAGATTGCAGGGAAAGAGAAAGGGCCTTTGTCCGCATTCATTTGTTCGTCCATTCATTCCCCGAGTTCATTGATTGTGCCGGTGGTATCGCTGTCATGGCGACGGCCCGATGCCAATGAATTGGTTTTAGAGTAGCGACGACAACGAGGGCCGGCGAGCCGGCGACCGAGTCAAGACCGGCGACAGGCGGGGAACTTCCCCGGGGGAAGCGCCGTGCAGGGCAGGCCAACCCGCAGAGCATCGGAGTTCGACGGGACTGTCTACCTAGCAGGCGCTCGCTGGCAGCGGACTCCCATTTCAGAAATTTCAACGTTTACCGTCACTTTTCTTGCCAATTAAATTTTAAAAGAAATTAAATTTTTACCTAGTGAGACATCTATTTGTTTGTTAGACACACATGAGTGAAGTTTCCTCCGCACGCGTTGACGGCGTGCAACGCGATCCCCACTTAATTAATTAGTCGAATTTAGTGAAGTCATCCTTTATATGGCGAGCAAGCAGACTCCTGTTAACGCCAGCCCGTTACCCGCCTGATTATCGCTGCATTCGAAATACACTAATTGTCCCGCGAGACGCATCTTTTCTGGGAAATCTCGAGTCCCGTTTCCAGTCTCAAAATGTATACAGCGCTCGCTGCCCCCGATGACGTACTCACGTGGACAGCCGAACCGGTGGCGCAGGTGCAGAATCTGCGGCGCACTCCGCGAGGAGGACGCTCTTCGGACCGAAATCCAACACTAAAGGCACTCCACAGAAATGTATTTCAGAGGTCTTGAAAACTTCTTTTTGTGACGAAAATCCTTGGTTAGGCGTGGATCACACTTAAAGTCCCGACGCACTGGCAACGGCGAAGTGGCGGACGTAAAACGGAACCGGCTGCGCGAGGAAGGAAAGAGTGCCGGACCGTTTCCGCGGAGAGACGAGCGGCTACTGAGCGCGCGCGCAAGGACCGCAGCCCTTTATACGAAGGCGGCAAGGCGGCGGAGGGGCGCGAGGTGGAGGGGGTTGGCATCAACGAAATCGCGTCTCAGTGATGAGTGCGAATCGAGCAACGCGTTACACACGCGCTTTAATTGAGTTTTTAGTTTTTACGAGTGGAATGCCGTTCGGGGCCCTAGGCCTGTTTACTTAGAGGTGTGGCGGTGGTTCGGTCCTTTATTGTTTTTTGTTCCTGTTGTTTTTTCTTGTGTGTGTGCGTGCGTCTCCGACGCTTTTATGCGCCTGGTCCGACGCCCGCCGAATAGTGCAGTGAATCTGTTTGACTTGGTATCCATAAATTCGAAAGCGGCCGGGCAGATAGCGCGACCCATTTCACTTCGCGTTTCGCTCTTTTATTCTCTATTTATCGAGCCCAGACTCATACGCGGCGCCGTGCATAAATTTCAGGAGTTTCATACATGCCCCGATTGTTTTGATTACGAGATTAGCATTTACGGGTCACAGGCCCTTGAGTCTGGCTGAGCCTTGCCCCTCGCCTTGCCTTACCTTGCCCAGCACTGCCCAGCCCGACACGAGCGTTGAAGTCTCCGGCCGGCCGGCTGCAAGCAGGCTAGCGAACGAGGACGCCTCCCGCTGCGGTCGCAAAACCGTCCCCTGCTTGGCGTCACAGCGCTAATTATCCCTTCCAGGACGACGCCGGTTTGGCCGAGTGGTCAGGGCGTCGACTTGCCAACTTCTCGACCCGGGTTCGACCCGCCCCGGCGGCGAGAATTTTTCCGACACTCCCGGACAATTTTTATCGCAGCTGGTTCCCCGCGCGAGACTAATGCCGCGCCGCCGCCGCCGACGCGGGGTGTCAAAAACTGATCCGCCGGCGCTGGTACTCGAACCGGGATCTGGTCTGAATGGCTCCTTCCCTTCCGTTTCCGCCGTGATCGCGGTCCGGAACGGCGCCGGCAGAATTAAAAGGCGGTGACGCCAAAGTCCGACGTTTGTTTGCACTTTGTTTTCGGCACAGATTTGATTTTACTTTTCAACTTTTTTTTTTACAAAATTTTGCGGGAGAAACTAACGAGGCGCCAGCTGAAAGTCCCAAAGGCCGTTTTTCGGCAGTCGTGTTCCCCTTTTGGGTCGGTTTCTTTCTGTTGCTCTTGGAGATCGACAAGAAAGCCGAGCGCAGCTGTGACACGGGTGGCCCGGCCGGATGTCCAGCCCCGCACGCAACGCTGCATCGCCCGGCACCGGCCAGCCCTGCCCGGCACCGCGGCACCGCCAACAAGCTCTGCCACGGGCGGGGCATGCCACGGGCCGGGCCGTGCCGCCGTGCAGGGACAACTGGCTGCTGTTTAGGGCGTTTGTACATTCGAGGTCGGGAGCAGCCTCGCGGACCATTCTCTCTCTCTGTTTGTGTACCTGTATGTGTGTGAGTAAGTGTGTGTGTGTGTGTGTGTGTGTGTGTGTGCGTGTGTGTGAGGCATGTGGGTTAATAAGTCTGCAATGGCGTATGTAATTCCCTTTGAGGACAAAAAGGGTCCAGCGAGGAGTCGTCTCTATTAGTGCATGGCACTCTCCGCTCTGCAACTAGGTCCATCAGCTCGGCAGGGCGGAGGCGAAGTAAGTACCGGCAATTTTTCTTAAGAGACGAAGGGGCGTCGCTGTTCATTTTCGGTGCGACGGCACCATTTTCATCCGCGGTGCCTGTCTCCGCTCGTTTAAAACCTTGCGACCGCAAACCCGCCCTCGAGCGGGAAGTTGCAATCCGAATTTTGTGCGTCGGACTCGCCACTTGTTGTCCAAAGCTCTACTCTTTGCGTAACTGTATCACCGCTTTTGAAGCCATGCGCGCGCTTTTTTGCCTCTTTTCTCTTTCTTTCCGCCGCCACCGCCTCCTTCTCGTCTTCGTCTTTCCACCGCCTTCCTGTTTCCCTCATCAACAGCTGGACATCGCTACGCGTTAATTAGGCAAGGCGCAGGTACATCATCGCGGTCACCCCGGTCCATGCATCATCGTGCCGGAGAGCGGAAGCCCGGGGGGGGGGGACCTCACTGGGCACCGTGCGGGCCGTGAGGTGACGAGCCGCTCCATCAAGCTTTACGGGCCGGCGAGCCCGAAAACGGCCCGTTACCGCCCCTTTACATTTACTTATTATGCATTTCTCACACCACCGCCGCCTTCCTCCTTGTCGTGTTTTGGGTGTGTTTCTTCGCTTTTTAGCTTCTCTCCTCTCTGATTTCAGTCGAGATGGCGAATAAACTGTGGTTCTTGTGTGCTTTCCGAAACGTGTTCGTCGCTAATTGGATTTGCGTGATTTATTTGGCGGGTTCCTCCCTGCTTGAAGACGCCCCGGCGGATTTGGCGAGTCCGTTAGCTTGGCTCTTGCTTCGCTGACCCGAACACTACTCGGTCTGACTCGGCACGTCACGGCGCGTCGGGGGAGTCATACCCTTCAGCGCCTTTTCCACGAGCATTAGCGGCGCGGCCGCCACTTATCACTGTCCTCCCCCGTCTCGCTCGCACCCGCGGAACGCTTCCTGGGTGCGAGAGAAAGAGAGAGAGAGAGAGAGAGAGAGAGAGAGAGAGAGAGAGAGAGAGAGAGAGAGAGAGAGAGAGAGTGCTTCGGGCGTGGGCGTCAGAGAGGCCTAGCCCGCACTGTGTCACTCGAGCCAGCGCATCGTCGTTGGAGGATTTGCGGTATCGGAGCCCGGTTCGTTTGTTTACCTCGTGATGTAAAGACCTTGCCCCAATTTCCCCCTTCTTCCTCTGTTTTTGAACAATGGGGCGTTTCGCTGTACTACAAGGCAAAAAGGCGCGACTCGCGTCCCTTGACTTTCGTGAATGGCCGTGAGAGAGTTCGAGGTCTTCATTACCTCAAACTACGCGCTGATGATGCTTTGGCCCACTTGCCCACCGCGGGGCCTTGGCGGCGCCCTGGCGGCGCCCTTCCATACTCATGAGGCTGGGATAGGCCCCGTTTAGGGTGGCCCATAGGGCCCCGTTGCGCTGACATACTTGTGAAAGGCAACTCACAAAAATCCAAAATTTTGAAAAAAAAATTAATTAGAAACATGAAGGCGAGGTATAGGGACAGCCAATAATTCGAAAATGCTGTCAACAGGTTCAGTTCCCGACAACCTGCCGTGTGGCTTAACTTAAGAGAGTCTCCAGGGACAGTTCTCCATACCCTCCAGGCGCCATGGCCCCTTACGGCGGAGGCTGGGTAGGCAGACCCGTCGCACTCCCGTGTGCTGGGATGGCCAGCGGCAGGTTGCCAGGCGTCCAGCAGACAGAATCGTTTTCGTCGCTCTGTCTCTCTCGCACTCGTGGGGCGTTCCGTATAGGTGGGAGAGAGACAGAGCGACGAAAACGCTTCTCTGAATGAGTCTACTGTGAGGCGGCGCCGCGCGGTCCCCGCTCACCTGCCCCTCGGCGGCCGTGCCGTGCCGTGCCGTGCCGTGCACCTGGCGGAGGCGCGCACGCCGCCACATTAGTGCCTGCCGAAAACGGGCCACATAATTTGGCCTTGTAATCTCGAGGCTCCCCGGTAGCTTCCCTGTCTTCACGCGGCTGGCCCGACAGAGGCCAGCGAGCGATACCGTGTTGCGCACTGTCTCTCTCGCTCCGCGACGGGCCACCCCATGAGTGCGAGAGAGACAGAGCGACGAAGCCGGTCGTTGGGAATCTGCCAGCTCGTCCCGTACGCATCACGCAGCGGCCGTGGCGCAGTCTTCAGATTGTTCAATGTCAGATTAACGTGATCGTCGCTTCATTTGGTGCGAGTTTTTCAACCCGCGGTGGCCGCCGCTTTCCCCCCTCGGCATGTGGACCATTTTGCACGAAACCAGTGTCGGGACGACCAAAAAGAGCCGAAGATGCATTCGAACGACAAGCCGTGGCAAAGCCGTGGCTGGCTGCATTCCTGGTGAAAGACAAGTCAAGGCCCCGCGAGGCTGGCGGCGCTGGGCTGGGCAGGGCAGTCAGATGCCTCCGGGGTCTATTCCTCTCCGCCCTGCCGTCGACATGCCTAGACATGGCCCGCCCCACGGCTGGGCCTACGCGATGTTTCTCGCGCGGTTTGGGACTCAACAGGTGTCGACAACAATGCTGACAGCTCTCTGCATCAACTTTGCATAACCCAAACTTTCCTCAAGAAAATTCACAAAAATTGATTTTTTGTAAAAAAAAAAAATAAAAGGCTGGTTGCGTTTTCTTTCGCTTTCCACAATCCATGTTTTCTTTCCGAATTTGTTCTGCTGGCCTTATTTTATTCCTTTGCGAAGGCGCAGCTGGATCCCGAAGCTCCTCCAGTTCTTCTCGGCTTGTCTCTTCCCTCAAGTAATGCGGCATGACGAATGCTGACGCCTTCCCCCTCCCCTTTTCCTCCAGGTTCGAGCGCTTCCGTTTCTGTTCCGTTTCTGCCCGTTCCGCTCAGTCTGACTCCGCACCGCCCGCTCCCCTGCCCCTTCCGTATGCACGTTGAGGGATGTGGGACTCCTTTTTTTTGCGAGGAAAATGTGTCTGCGCCAACGGAGGAACAGCGCGAATCACTAGTACCGCGAGTACCGTAGTAATGCGGCGCGATGTTTGAAAAGAAAGGAGAAAAAGTTTATAAAAAAAAGGATGCGGAAGAAATGGATGGCAAACTGTGCGCGTAGCTCAGGCGGCAGAGGCACTGCGCCGCGAAATCCCAGCCAGGTTGGAATTGAACGAGTGTGTCGCAGAAGTCTAGCTGACTAGAACACTTGCACTTACAAGACGAACTTCTATTTTTCCTATTTATTGCAGCAATTGAATTTTTGCGATTAAGTATCAAGCAGGTGCGCGTGTAGATACGTGCACTCATTCCCCAGGCGTGTTCAACATGACCCGAGAGAGGGGCTGGCTGGCAATGTAGCTGCTCCGTCGGCACGGCGGCGTACGTCCAATGCGGTCGTGGGCACGTTTCACTTTTCAGAGCTCGCCATCCTGACCTAGAGTGG